CATTTTTTCTGTTGTAACGAACCCTTTCATTTTCAAACCCAGCGGTGTTGTGGATTTCGTTTTCTTTTTTTTTATCTGTTTTTGTTTCCTTCTTTTAAAACAAAATGAAGTTTATGAAAAAATTTTTTTTTAATTTCTGTCTAAAAAATTGAATTTTACCACTTTGAGGTATAGTTGTCCGGCTGCTACTCTTAAGAAAATTGATTTTCAAAAGATTTTATCAAATTTTGAGATAATTTTTTTTCGGGTGCCCTTTAAATGTGGTAAAAATTTCAAAACCCTTTGCGATGCTAAATTTTGAGTTATTTAAGTTCAAACTTTAACTTTTACATGCGCGATTATGTTAAAAATAAAAAATGTCAACAACAATTTCTCGTTTTTTGACATGGCAAATGGTTTTGAAATTTGTAACCCCTTTAAAGGGCACCCGAAGAAACATTTTCTCAAAATTTATAGAAAATCTATCAAAACTCAATTTTTTTAAGAGTAGCAGCCGGAGAAATATCTTAAGGGTGGTTTTTTGAAATTTTAACAAAAACTAATTATGTCGTTTTAATTCTGACGCTGATTTTGAGTTTTTAAAATAAAAATACAGGAACGTATGCTTCCTTTGAAAAATTAGTTTTTTTTCTCATTTTTATCCTGTTAAGGGTAGTTTTTATCCATTTTAACAATCACATGGGGTGATGTTTTAATTCTGACATTGTTTTTGAGTCGTTGAAAGAGAAGTATATAAATTTATTGTTCTGTTTTAAAAAACAATCTATTATTTCATTTTTTTTACTTTAAAGTTTAGATTTGCACATTTAAGGGTGGTTTTTTCCATTTAAAAAAAACAGGGTGATGGATCAATTTTAACATACAGTACCGTCTGAAATTGTCAGTCCACCTATTTTTAAAGGAATGAAAAAAATTCTTTAACGTAAAATTCATGAAAACTAAAATTTTTTTTGGTTTATATTTTGTAAGAGGATAAAATTTTGAAAAGAATAAGACCTCACAGAAGTCATTTGCCCAAAATTTGTAGAAGATATTCTTAATAATCGTCATTTTCAATGTTTTACAAAAATTTGAATAACTTCTAAAATAATGAACGCTTTTTAATAATCTTAGGCTTATTTTAAAGGTCATTTTCTACGGAATAAGAATTACTTATAGGCATTAACCTGTAATTTTTTACTTGGAATAAGCATGACGTCAAAGTTGGACAAAAAAATTCAAAAAATTTGAAATAATATTATTAAAAGAAAAATAATTTTTGAAATTCAAACATATTTTTTTATTAACTTTTCTTTAAAAATCTTCACCATATCATGTTTTATATATGTTCTAGAATAGTTTTAGTACAAAAAATTTATTTCAAATTTTTCTAATTTTTTTGTCCAACTTTGACGTCATGCTTATTCCAAATAAAAAATTACAGGTTAATGCCTATAAGTAATGCTTATTCCGTAGAAAACGACCTTTAAAATAAGCCTAAGATTATTAAAAAGCGTTCATTATTTTAGAAGTTATTAAAATTTTTGTAAAACATTGAAAATGACGATTATTAAGAATATCTTCTACAAATTTTGGGCAAATGACTTCTGTGAGGTCTTATTCTTTTCAAAATTTTATCCTCTTACAAAATATAAACCAAAAAAAATTTTAGTTTTCATGAATTTTATGTTAAAAAATTTTTTTCATTCCTTCAAAAATGGGTGGATTGGCAATTTTGGCCGGTACTGTAGTTTCTGAGTTGTTGGAGGAGAAATACATTTAAGTTTATTTTTCAGTTTTGAAAAACAATCTTTTGTTTCATTCTTTACTTTAAATTTTGAATTTGTACATTTAAGGGTAGTTTTTTCGATTTAAATAAAACATAGGGTAATGGAGAAAGTCTGACATTGTTTCTGAGTTATTGTAACAGAAGTACATACATTAATATTGTTCTGTTTTGCAACACAATCTGTTTTCAATTTTTTTTAATTTTAAACTTTTATTTTAACATTTTAAATATTTAAACATTTGATTTAAACTTAAAATATTTAAGGGTAGTTTTTTCGATTTAAAAAAACAGAGGATGATGGAGCAATTCTGACTTCATATTCGTTTTCAGCGGGCAAAAATACTATAAAACATGTAGGTCTGGTTCAATAAACAGACCACTTTTATTTTTATGTGTGCCTGTGTTATGAAATAATAATTAAATAATTATTTCTGCGCAGTACATTTCTATGGCTTCTAAGACTGTGTAATGAATTTTAATTTGATAGTGAAGCTTCGATCTGTAAGTAGCCGAAAATTCAAAAGTTAATTTATCCAATTACAATATGAAAGATTAAAAAAATAATTATTTTGTTGGACACCAGGTACTCTAGATACAATAAAACGTATTCTACTGTCCTTTATTGTCTTTTCACTTGCTAATAAATCTATACTTAAAACTTTTTAATATGGTAATTTAATGCAAATTCACTTCCATTATAAAAGGTGATGTAAGGTGCCTCACATGCATGGCATAATGCTTCAAAAGAATTTTTTTTAAATTTTGATGATATCGTGAATCCTCGTGCAATACTCATGTTGATAAGCAACAAAAACGATCCTGCTTGCACTCATTTTGAGTTTTAGTCACAAAGTTTTAAAATGAACCATATTGGTTTCGTTTTTATTCAATAATTAAAAAATTTTGAATAAATACCTAAAAACTATAATTTAAAAAAAAAACTACTTAAACTTTTTTTTATAGAAGCAACATATTTCAAATAATAAACTTCAATTCATTATGTTAATTTTCTGCATTTATGAAAGTAAATAAAATAACTTTTAGGTTAAAGAATTGATTTTTAGGTGGAAGTTCACTTAAATCAACCTGAAGTTTACTGCTAACTCATTTTGATACAGAACAAAAAATGTTAAGCAGCAAAAATGAGTACAGGTTTTTTAATGTATAGATATTGCAGCAAACATTGCATGAAAATTTATACTGAAATTATTTTTGGAAATTTAAAATTACAAATTACAGCAATATTACAATTAAAAACAGTTTAATAAAATTTTGCAATTAAAATATTTTTATAAATTTTTATATATTATTAATTTATCCAATTTATTTTTTTTATTTTAATAAATATTATTTAATTTATATTTATTAGAATTAGAATTAAATTTTTTTTTGATATTCTAATTGGTACTGACAGCTATCGAATAAGATTTCAAACAACAACAAATTTTATTATATTAGCGAAATTTTTAGTTGTTTCAGTTAAGACTTTCGCTATTTGAGAGAAATTTATCACTTTTTCAAGTAAAAAATGTTTCCGTGGAACTATTTTGTGAGTGAAGAAAATGAAAAACAGGCAAAAGAAAGATTAAAAATTTTAAATATATTATAAAATTTAGACCTAATAAAGTATTAAAATTTTATGCCTATTAAAAATTATAAGAAGGTTAAAACAAAATATCCCAAGAAATCTATATTTTTTGGTGTAGGTAATATAGAAGAAAATATGTTGCATACTCCCTGCCCGATTGCAACCCGTCGCATCGAGGTGTACTTCGGGAAATATTATCTCACCAGTGTTTCTCATCTTTTATGGTTTAAAATCGAGTAAGCTTATAAATAACTCGTAGCTGCCGCAATTAATAAATTAATGCAGTGCAAAATACATAAATCATACTTTAGATTAACTTTAACTCATTTCGTTCGAGAAATACGTTCTTTTCTTTCTGTACTCGACATTTTCAAAGATTATAGGCTAAAAAAATTTGCATATAGCGTTTATGTATTTTTAGTCCTCTTTCAGAATCTACAAGAAAATTTTACTTTTGAATTATAAATGTATAAAAAAATGTACGTATCAGAGATGTTAGTTTTATTTTTGAGTTTAGTTATTTGTGATAAGAAAATTTATGTTTCCAATTTGTTTTTCTATTTTAAAAATTTTAGATAATTTGCCCAAAATGTTTGAGTTCAAATTTTTCCTGAAGCGATTTCCAATTGAAAATACATATACATAGTTTTAATGAAAAACAAAAGCCAAAAGTTTTGTCTTTTTTTGTTTAAACAATCATGACTTTTTTGTCCTTAAGTGAAAAGAAAAATTCTCTTGTAAATTATGAAAGATGACTAAAAAATATATTAGAAACACTATATGCAAATCAATATTCATTTTTATAATTATTATTATTATTTTTATAATATTTTAAGAAAAATATACTGTAAAAGAAAGTAGAAAAAGTTAAGCAAAACTTTTTTCGTTTTCACTTAAAGTATTTAATTACTTCCGTATATAAATTTTTAGAATAATATTTACATCTGTAAGTTCACTGATGCATTTATCCAATATATTTAAAGGAAGAAGTTTTTAAGTCCTTTTTAGGAACTATGGTTAGAAAATAACGATATATTCATAATTGCTACAAAGTATTTATATTTAAACATAAACACCGGTTCACGATGTATTATTCTAAAAGATTAGAACTGGTCAATACACTTAAGTATTTTAGGTCCCATGCACAACAGTGCAGTCACTAAACCCTCTAAGGATCAAAGTAGTCATTGTAGGATGATTGGATAGCATAATTAGGATGACTCAGATTCTGGAAAGAATTTTTATCCCATTCTAAAAATGTTCCCTCCAGTTTTTCTACTATATTCCAAAGAGTAAGAAAATGCTATTTTCAAAGGAGGACAACTCTCGAACAAAAATCAGTCTCCATTCTGAGTTTAGAATCTCAAGTATTTTTTGTTGCTATACATTTCGCCAAGTCGAGTATGTTTAACTTGCTCCTGCAAGTTTCGGTTTTATATCCGAACGGAAGATAAGAATAATAAAATTAATTTTTAACCTAGTAGAATAATAATATATTATAAAAAAATTATTATCAAATATACTTCATAGCATTTTTCTTCAATTAATTCGTTCCGACCATTAATTGTAAAACTGTAATTCTTACAATTAAAGTGCAACGAATTAATAATGTACATAGGTTAAAGTTAAAATTTTTAGACTTACCTATGATTGTGATCAAGGTTTGAATGATCCGTTTTTGGTACAGAAGAAACTAGTGCGTGAGATGCTAATGCGTGTGCATGCGGACTTAAACCTGGATGGGGTGGCATTAGGCTTGTAGGCGAAAACCGATACAAGTCACTGTAAAAAAAAGTTTGTGTGAAATGGCATTTCAATAGTCAAAGCAAACAGATTACTGTAAAATAAAAATATTAATTTATTTGATAAAATAGATATAAATAAAAATTACAATAATAGTGATTAAAATATATTTTGCATTAGATTCTCATTTTCTATTCGATAAAAAAACTGTGCCTATTAGAATGGAATTAAAAAAAGTTAATTTCACCTAATCCCAAAAATTCACTTTTTAATTAACTTTTAATTCACTTGAGAATGGAATAGAAATATATAATTATATAGTGTTAATAACGATTATAACGTTACTTCTTCCAAAAAGCATTATTTAAGATTAAAAAAATTATAAATGTATTTTCCTGAACGGAATTAATCATCATTTATTTTCATTTATATATTATTTGAGGAAACTTTTAGGAATTAAAAAATTACAAAATATTTGTCACTGATGATATAGAAGTCGATTTTAATTATTTTTTAAAGGATGGACCTTTAAAATGAAATTTACGAATTTCGACCATTCTCGTCCCTCAATGGTTATAAATAAAAGAAATAGATACATATTTAATATTTCATGATATTGAGGTATCATGAACACCCGATTAAGGTGAATTTTTTATGTTTTCAAGTTTTTGGGGGTCGACAGTTTTTGATAAAATAAAACAATATTTTTGAATTGACGTATTCACTCAAAAAACTGAATAATTAAAAATTAAAATACTGACAATGAGAGAAATAAAAACTTAAAGTATAATAATTAATATGAGTTAATAACAAACATAAAATATATTTCAAAAAAATATTGAAATTAACTTTAAGAAATAAAAATTAATTTAATGATTTTTTGAAGCAAAATAAAAATTTTGATACATTACCTGAGTAATACACGACAATATTGTTATTTGTCTGAAAGTTCTTTAAGAAATTATATAAAGAAAGAAAAAATTTAACCATATTTAAATAATTTTGTCGGTTTACATAAATTTTAGCTAGGAAAAAAATTTGCAGTTTATTAATACCAATCAATTTAAAACATAAGTGTTATGTTAATTATTATAATATAATATATAATTTCTTTCATTAAAGTTGCCTATCTTTTGTGGAACAATAAGCCTCCAAAAAGTTGCCAAAAGTATTATAATGAGTGCTTATCTATGAAGATAAAAAGCAAAAAACTAATTGCCAAATTCAAAAAAAAATTTGGTTTTTCTGCTATGAATAATTAAATATTGTGTCTTAAAAGTTATCTTTTTCAACATCATTAGAAATTTCTTGATAACGTCCTATAGAGGCACTAAAACTTTCAATAAAGTATTAACAGGACGAACTCAAGAAGTATCTTTGTTGTTAGGAAGAACTCAACATGTGCATTGTGCAAGGAAAAATTACTGTCTTATTATTGCCATAAAATTAGAGACAAATAAATGTATTCTCGCACATACCTTGTTGTCAAACACAAATTTAATGCATAGATTTCTTTGCATAGCAAACCTACGGAACCCGATTTCAATAAACCAAGATTTATATTTATTCTGTACCAAGGTTTTATGTGATAAGACTCAAATTTAAGGTTATATAAATCACACCTACAAAAGTGGATTTTGACACGCGAGAGTATTCAACTACAAAACTCTGATTATAGTAGATAGTCAAAAAATAATTACAGGAAATGAGAAAATTGTTTAATAAATGTAGGGCATTCAAAAACTCGGAAAATCAACTTCTAAAACCCATCCTTAACTCTGTAAACATCCTTAGTTTTTACAAATTGCCTTCTTTTATCTAAAGAAGATTATTTAACAGTTAGCATCTAAAAATTCCAAAAAATTAACCTTAACATGAAAATCACCCCAAGAAGATTCAAATTTAAAAATTTACAAGAATTTTCAGTAATTATTCTTTAGCTATTCACTTTAATCAAGCTATAGTGATATATAGTAAACTTCAGATGTCATTAGGATGTTACGTAATCGGATATAAATGTCCAAATATGTTTTAGCAGATTCCAGACTCAAACTTTTCGGATACCTATAATAGACAGCGTCGTGTCCACTCTATTCTAACTTTTTCATGCTTTTCTCAAGAAAAATCATGGCACCCACATTGTCTGTGGCAAAACCCTCAAACATTTGGGCATCATGCTAGACAGAAGACTCATCTATAACAGCTAAGAGATACATAACTTTCTGTTCAGACTATCTCCAATTCTTTTTAGCTTATATCTCCGCGAATTGGAAACTTACCTTCCAGTAAACATGAAACATGTCATGAACGCAGACGACCTTCTTTTATACTACCAATTTAAGAAATTTCGACCTATCAATGAAGATGAACTCTCCTTAGAGATTTCTGCTGCTTTGAACAGTCTAGCGACATGGTTGGGTACTTTGGGTATGGATGTTACTCCCCATAAGACCGAGTGTTGCATTTTTTCTAGATCTCACATTACTTTTGATAACTTCACAGTGAAAATTGGAAATTCGACAATAAACTGCAATTCGGAAATGAAACATCTAGGGATCATCTTAGATCGTAAACTCCTATGGAAGGCTCACGTAACGTGGGGCGTGTCACCCATTCAGAAAACCTTGTAATTCACCTGTTACAAACTCTCGCTGCCACAATAGGAGACCCGAATTTTAAGCTTCATTTAAATAAAATTTCACTATTCGATGTATTTCTGGATTTATCACCAATCTTGAGTATGTGCCAAAAAACAAGTAAGCCAGCCTATTTTGATTGGCTTTGGTCCTCTCTAACTGTCTCCCTGAAATGTGACACCAAGTCAGGTTATACTACGAAGGAGCATCCCTCTCCCGAAACTTGCTTCAGAGAAATCCTGCAGACTGAGTTTCCCAATTTCCATCCTATCTTTACTGATGTCTCTAAGTCTTCTTTAACCAATTTATCCTCTGTCGCATTTTATGATCAACGGAGAAATTATACACAAGGCTGTAGCGATGTAGAATGACGATGGAGAGAGCGAAAAACGTTATCAGGAATGTGTGTGAAAGCGAAGTGGCGAAAATGTACGCGTGAGTGCAAAGATCCGTAAATTCTCGAAAATGTCTTCGGGGACCTACGTAGAATTAAGTAGAGAGAGACGATTTGAATGTCGTATTTCGTCATTTTTATAATCATTGTCTCGTAGCTTTCGGTCGAGTGAGCGATCTTCGCCACTGCTTGTGTATCTCGCCGAGAACTCATAAGGTAAAAGTTATGAATCTGAATTTATATTTGAGTGGTCGATGCATAAATGTTATTCTGTTTATTAGAGTGGCGAATTTGATGGGAAAATCGTCCCGATTGTGATATTATTGGTTGATGAAATTGTTGACGCCACCATCTATCCTGCCATATGTGATATAAAATCGTCAAAGGATCACCCATGCGATTTTATGCTTGCAGTACTCGTTATTTTTTGGTGAAGCAAGGGATAACATTTTCTCCTAACACGACCACTGGAATGAATGATCAATTTCAAATTTAAGATCCAACAATAATTCAAGGTGACACAAATTATTAACTGTTAGAAGGCGGCGAGCATCCCTTTCTTTTAATCTGTATTTTGTTATATTATTTTAACGTCTATTACCTATTTTGTGACAGGTTTATCGATTATTCTATAAAAAACAAACTGGATAAAACCCTGATAGTTACGGATTCCCTCTCGGCTTTGAACCACCTTAGTAGCTGCTTTATACATAAAGCTAATCCGGATATGATCTACTCAATCTTAGACCTGATTCACTTCCTAACCATTTCTTAACCCATTTAGTCATCAAATTCATGTGGGTTTCAGCTCATTCGGGAATATGCTCATTTGGGGAACGAGGATTCTGTATGCAGAGAAATCAACAAACGCGAAAACTGAGTACATGTGGGTATTCTTTTGTCTCCCCTCAAAAACAACATTTTCATCCCAGACATACTAGCTTGGCTCGCTAAAAATTGGCCGTATACTGATCGATACAAGTTTTGCTCTTTATAATCTTGTTCTTCTATATTTTTGTATGTTTCGTTGTTCTAACAGTTGGCTATGCCTAAAGTCATCTAAGAAGAAGATATTGCGGTTGAGAAAGACAGCCCGAGCGTAACTGATGTTCCTATTGCACGCTGCAGCTCAATTTTTGGAGAAAATACTTCCGTATTGACGACATAATAAAGTTGGTTCGAAAAAGTTTCAGAAATTTGTTGCAGTAACGAGAAAAAAGCATTTTAATTGCACAACGTCGTTTGTCATCCTAAGTGCAAATTGACTAATATTCAATTAGTATTTTTATCTTCAATTACAACTTGGAAATGTCTTCTTCTAAACCAGGGTACAGGTTTCAATAACATATTTGTTAATTGTGTTGATTCCGCATACGATTTATCAAATAAAATAAACGTGCTTGATTCATTCCTTTGGATGAAGTCTGCCGAGAATGAGATTAAATACCAATCAGTGTTTTAAATTGTTTTGCGAAAACTGCGGCTTACCAAGTGTACAAACAAAGAATGATGACGTTGTGATACTCAATGGCGCAGAGTTCTAGAAACTTTGAGTAATTTTCGATCCAGTGATTTCTACAAACAATGCGTTTAGTTAGATACCTGTGTACCTGAATGTACGACTGCTATATTTTCTAAAATTCATAATAATGAAATCCAAGTTAGATAATTAGTCCACCAGGGGATATAATCTGCTTAATTTGAAGTACCAAAAATTTCTCGAATTATGCAATTAAACATGAAAGGCTTTCCATTATCATTCCATTATCAGCTAAGCCGATCGAGAGGTTGTTCAAATGGTTAGAAAAGATTGCAGATATGGAATTTATTTATTACTGTAATGCAATTTATCTTTCACCGTGTACGCTGTTGGGAGGTTGAACTGTAGACGGAAAAGCGGGACTTCTGTGCTTTGTGTTAGACATTAGAAAAGTTCGAGTCTGAAATATGCTTCTCAAGACGTCATTATCCTTCGCGCTACCTCCCGGTAGTCCACGTATACAAAAAATCTTCTATGATTCCCTAGTTGTTGGTTTCTATTCGAGTATCCTTTCTCTTAATCGACTTTGATCGCAATAAGTATATCAACTTCTACATTCTAAAGAATGAACCACAAACATTTTTAGACGCCATTCAGACTCAATTCGTAAATTTTTGAAATACATTTTATACAAAATGTTCTTTAACTTCAAATTTATATATTTCCAGATAGCACAATATGTAGGAAGTACGTGATCCGAATTTTGGGATTTTGCACAGCAAACTTGTGACAAGTAGCAAAATTTTTGTTTGTTTACAATGTGAATTTCGCATTGTTAACTCTCAGCGATAATATTCCTACAAAATATTGTGCTATCTGGGTTTGTGTAAATTTCTCTTATGAGATAATTAAAAATAACTGACCTGGGTAAACTGGAGCCACTTATAGGTAAACTCGATGGATAAGGACTCCGAAACCCTGCGCTTGCAGGAGAAATGGGGTACATGCTTGGCGTGTGCCTAAAACCAGAGCAATTTATTTTGTAATACAATAATCATTGATCCATTTATTTATTTTTACAAATATTTGTAGAATGAGATAAAACAATTAAAACTTTTGTTAAAAAATTCAAAGATTGAATGAGAGAACTTAAACTGCAGTTCAATTGCTATTGTGATAGCTGCCTCGCTAGAAGAATTCAATGATATTTTAGTAATGATGTTACTATCCGCTTTGCACAGATCTCTTTAATTCAAACTAGGGAAAGAATATTTACTTTGCTGTTCTGTAGAGTTCACATATTCGAGACCATAAACCTTTCATCAATTTTAAAACTGTATTTTATTATAAATCTCAACTAGGTATTTGGGTATTTTTTCATTTTTCATAAATTGGGTGAGTTTGATCTCTTTGGACGGAGTAGCTAGCTTTATATTAATACAAAATCACTGATTTCGAGGATGAGGCAATGCAGCACAATTCTTTGCAAATGATAATTGTTATAAACAGTATAATATAAATAATGTGAATAAAAATAAAATAAAGGCAGGTAGAGAATCAATTTAGATATTCTACGAAAGTCCGAAGGGTATTAGGTATTTTTCGGTGAATATTTTAGGATATTCCTAGGATTTTTCCAGAGTTGTCCACGGACATCTTAGGGATATCTAAATTTTCATATGTACCTAGAACTTCCATAGGATATTCATAGGATATATGTTAGGGTTTGGAGAAGTTAATAAGCATTAAAAACAAGCTTACCAAGACGCTGCAACTTGAGACATTTCAGGACTAAGCATAGAGTAAGGATATTGACCCGTAGAGAATGGGTACATTGGAGCTCTCGTAAGACCTGAAAGAAGAAAAATGTGTTAATATTAGGTATTTACTACGTGCAAACAATTGAATTTTTATGTAAGTAGGTGTGAAAGTTCAAGTGGAAATCCACAATTTACCTCCTGTTTTTAAAACTGTATTATTATATTAAATTTCAGTAAAGAGAATTTCGTTATACTAAAATTTAGTTAAATAAAGAAAACCTTTAAAAACAATTCGGTTAAAATTAAATGTTAATACATTGTAACCTCATTTATCCAAACAGAGGTTCGGATAATCGAGGTTCCATTGTATAAAATAATTTCTTGACATTAGTTACAATTAAGATCGAAGTTTTAATCAATTTTTTAAAAATAATAAAAAAAATTTTGTTTTTCCCTGATTTTCAAACAAAATTTTCACTTTTCCCCTGATCCGAAAGAATATTCTGATTCATTCTAAAAATGTTTGGATACTCAAAAAAGTGTTCTATTACATTTATTTACTAATTTCTTTAATAATTGTAAAATTATTCAAAAACATCAATAAATTCTTTTTTAAATAAATATTTAATCATTATTATTATTCTCCCATAGGAATTTAGATCTTCAAAAAATTTCATATTAAAACCTTCATGAAATTCAACAACTATAATAATTTATATTTCCATAAATATTTTTGACCCAGGTCAAAAAAAATTAAATTATTTACAAAAATTTTAATAAAATCCTTAGCAAGAATTTAATTATTTTCATAAATAATAAAATTCATCACAAGATTTCAATTATTTAAAAAAGTGTAATAAAAATAATCGTTGCAAGGATTTAATTATTCTCCTAAATAATAAAATTTATAGTTGAAATTAAAATATTTTCAAAATCTATTACTTTAATAAAATTTTTCAAAAGAATTCAATTATTTAAAAAGAATGTAATAAAATTTCGTTGCAAGAATTCAATTACTTTCATAAATTAATAAAATTCTTCACAGGATTTCAATTATTTTTAATACAATTTTAAGTAAATTCTTCAAAAAATATAATTATTCTCAAAAATTTTATTAAAATTCTTCGAAAGAATTCAATTGTCAATTATTTTTAATAATTTTTACAAAAGTTCCTTGAGAATTTTTAAATTCATTTGTTTACAATTCAATTTTACGAAATTTTAATTATACGTAAATTCTTCAATATTAAATATTTAGAAAATAAAAACTTGAATTAATTTAAAGAAAAAATTCAATTAAACTGTTTTAAAAGAACTTAATTCTACAGAAATATCAATGAAAAATTTAAATTTTCAAAAATTTTAATTTTAAATCTTTTCAAAATTTAATTATTTTAAAAAATTGACGCTATAATACTTTTAATATTCAATTATTATCTAAAATTTTAACTGAAATTCATTTCTAAATCAATTTGTAATATAAAATTCTACGAGAATTCAATTATTTAAATAAATAAAACATTAATTAATAATTAAATAAATAAAAATAAATAATTTATTGAATAAATGAATGTTTTTCAAAATTGAATTCTTATAAAGAATTTCATCAACTAATTTTTAAATAATTGAATCTTTTCGACTAATTTTAATAAAATTTTCAAGAATAATTACATTTTTTGAGGAATTTGATTAAAATTATATAAGAAATAATTGAAATTCTATTATGAGTTTTATTATTCATGAAAATAATTGAATCTCTGTAAAAATTTTATTATTTATGAAATAAAATAATTAAATGTTTGCTTAGAATTTTATCAACATTTTTTTTTAAATAATTGAATTCCTTTTAAAAATTTTATCAAAATAGTAGATATACTGAAAATTATTGAATTGAGGAAAATTTTTTAAAATAATTGAAATTTTGCCAAGAATTTTATTAAAATTTTTGTAAATAATTGAATTTCGGAAAAGAATTTTATTATTTACAAAAATAAACTGAAATTTTGACAAGAATTTTAAAATTTTTTGAACATTTTGTTTTTTGTAAAACACAATTTTTTTGAAAAGAAAAGGATTCAATGAATAGGGTAAAAAAATTGTTTCTTTTCAAAATGGTCGGACAATTCATTTTCAAATGACAGACGATTTATTTGTTGTGGGGTTAAATTTACAATTAATGTGTTAAAAAGAGTTAAACTTTTAATCCTAACCGTTTATGAATTTGATTCTGAAATTTTTTTCCGAAAAAAAACTTCTTTTGGTACCAAACTCTAATGCCATTTCACACTATAGGTAATTTTCAATTTATACTTTAAATTTAAATTTCCCGCTCGAATGTATGTTTTCGCGCTCTGTAAACAACATCTCGAATGAATTTGCACATGTCAATTTCACTTTGATCGTCGTTATCGAGCTTCTGACATTCTCTTTTAAAATAGTCGATAAATTAAAAAAAGAGATTGATTCTCTAAACTCGGTATATTTTTAATAAACATTCAAATATTAGATCCGTACATTTAATATATTAATTGTAAAAAATTATTATTGTTAGTTCTGAAGATGGGTCAGTACCGCGAAATGTTATGTTATGGAATAACTTCGTAAATAAATGACATTTGACCGGAAAGCCTATTACAAAATTATTTTAAAGTTAATATAAAATATTGTATAATTATAAATGAATATTTATTTATTTACAATCGCCTGAATTATTTTAATGTAAATAAAGAAATATAACAAAAAAATAGTCGGTCAGAAATTAATACCATAGGAGTGTTTCATAATAAAAGAGATAAAACATTAAATTAATTGATCAATTTAAGAAAAAATTAAAACTTTAATAAAAAAATATATTATTAAATCTAGAACCTAGAAAATTATAAATTCTTTATTTTAACATCCCAAAATAGTGCTAAAGTTTTTTTTTTATTATTCATTCGATTATTTCAATTAATGGCAAACAAAGGATTTTCACAATTATTTTTTGAAAGTTCAAAGTGGCCTTATAATAACAAATCACGTAATTGTACGAAATTGTATCTGAAATCAATAAGATATACATGAATTCAGACGTGCCCTGAGGATAGCTTCATGAACAGTAAAACAGAACATGCAGCGAAAAATATAACACTAATAGCTAGTCCTAAACCACACTCAACGCCATTCAATTTGTCGTGGTGAACTTGCTGATATTCTAATGATACCAATTATCCGGCAGTTGCGTTCCTGCTTCTCTCTATGTTTTTCACTTTTAAAAATCATCCGCTTTTAATGGTTTCAATAATTAATATTTCTATAGTAAGAAAAAAATAATTTAAGCAATAATAAATGATTACAAATTAATTATATTCATATTAATTAAATATTAATTGAATTTAAAAAAAAAATTTTTTAAATTAAAAAACCCATATTTTAAAATGGTTTAAAATGTGGGTTCATAAATAAAATACTTAACGATCGTCGAAGGTATTTTTTATTAAATATTATTATCTTCTTTAGAAAAAACTGTTTTTAATGTGCAGCTTTATGATTAATAGAAAAATTAAAAAAAAAATATTCTTGTAAAACTTCAACATATTTAATACTTAACTCTCCTTTTGAAAATTAAAACTATTTTTTATATATTTTAAAATAAACGGAAAAGAATTCAAGCGAATTAACATGAATTAACTAGTTCATCTCGTTTATAGTTACAAATACAAATTGAAGCTGTCTGCATGGAAAAAACTAGAGTAAAACGTGGAGGGTCAAAATTAAGATGTTATGCTTGACCACTCTATGGTTTAATTAATGACAATGTACTTTATTTTTTGTACTCTTCTTGGTTGCATTAAATATTCTATAGTTTAAAAACATAATATAGGTGATTCTCCACGTAACATATAAAACTTCGTTTTACATGTTATTGCAAATCTAATGTAAATAGATCATTTCTATGACTACAAACAAAAAATAATAGTAAATTTTATTTTTAACATCATAATTTTGCATTAATAATGGTTTTAACGACCAAAAACGTTATTATTTGCTCTGTTCTCACTAAGAGTTTAAAAATAAAAGTTAATATTTTTAATAATATGCAATAAAAATTGAAATTACTAATGTTATTTTAGTATTATTTAACTTAGTAGAACTGAATAAACAAACCGCGATTCGAGAGTTTTTGGGGTTGCGGGTTACGAATCTGAAGTCACTTTCTAAAAATTAAACATGTCGGATCCAATATGGCCGACAGATTTTCAAATTTAATCAGATTCGCTAAAAACTTATTACTCAGTGGTTTTTGTGGTCTTTGATTACAAATCTGAAGTCACTTTTTGTAAATTAAAAAAAAACAGATTCAGTATAGCTGAAAAAATCCTTAAATTTGATCCAATCCGCTTAAAACTGGTAAAAATAATAAATTATCTACATTTTAGATTAGTACGAAGTTAGAATTTCTTAAAAGTGACTTCAGATTCATAATCAGCGACCCCATAAACCCCCCAAAAATGAGTTTTAAACGAATCTAATGAAATTTAAAATTTGTCCACCATATTGGATCCGCCATGTTCAATTCCTAAAAACATTTAATGTAGAAAAAAAATGAGTTACATTAATGAATGGCAAAGAGAAATTAGCTTCTGTAAAGCAACATAAAGCAATACATACCTGCTGCAGCAGCTGCCTTACTAGGATCCAATGTTCCATAAGGTGGAATGCCCATATGAGCTGGAGGAGGTTGAGATAGATGATCTCCGTTCGGACAAAAAAAAGGTAACCCACTGGGATGCGTCCCTGTTAAACCCATCTTACTAGCCTGCAACAAAAAATATCAAGTTTAATTAGCCAAGTTAGCACGTTAAAATATAATGCATTATTAGAATTTAAATGTAAAAATCTCTATAATATGAACGGCAGGATTTAAACACCTTTCAATGTAAAAACGTATGAAAGAAATTTGTTGCATTGCAGCCAATATGTGATGCATAATGAGGAAAAGATCTAAAAGTCAATTTTTTTTCTAATAATAATCAAACGATTTTGATTAAAACTGACAGTTAAATTAATTTAACTATCAATAAAATGTTTATAAAACATTTCATGACCGAAAAATAATATTTTATTATTTATCAGATCCCCTTAAGCGTCAGTTTCTTAGCAACCTTTTAACTAAAAGGAGGGGGTAAGGTCTAAAAATATTTTTATTGCATTTAAAAGATTTTTTTAAAAATGCATACGTAATATCTCCAGAAAATTGTGTTAAAATGTCAAGTCAATCGGAACAAAATAGTTTATATTACAAATAAAATGCACTCAAGTGAAGCAGAAAAGTGATAGTAGTGACTAAATAATTTGAATATTAACAGTCAGATTTACAATAATAGTAAATTATATGACATTTGTTTAAAAAAATGTTGAAAATTGATTAAATTTATTCATTAAAAAATATTATTATTTATAAAATGTTAGTAAAATTTATCCAAATTAAATATTTTTAATAAATGTTATTAAACATTTAATAAAACTGCGAATCATTTTTATTTAAATCAATTAAATGACATTTGCTTCAAATACTGAAATTATTGGATCAAATACAATTTATTTGATTTAAATAACAATTATTTGATTCAAGCAAATATTTATTTGATAGTAGACAAATTAAATTTTGTTTATTTCGCTTATTTAGATTTAGAGGGTAAAATTCAAAATTTGACCCTATTTTAATATTTGTTTTACAGGAGTATACTCTTAAAGTGAGTTAAAAAATATATTCTCTATATTATTATTTGGTCTACGTTGAAGTACAAAAAAAATATTTTTATGTTTCAAAAATTAAAATAATGTCTTTGACGGATTGAATAAAAAGCTAAGATTACTGAATTTATATTTGAAAATCTGCAGACGTAGAATTTATTTATGAACTATTTTTGCTAAAAATTTCATTCTTTTTTTCTGTAAAAAATCAATAATAAATTGTTAATAAATAAAATATAATTCGCTAAATAAAAAAATGAACGCCTAATTACATACAGTATGTATGGAATACATATTATCCGCAAATGTCCCCGCCGGATGAAAAATAATATCCCTAAGAAGTTTGAAAAATGTAGTTTTAAGGATACCCCTGCGTAACTTTTCAACAGAAAGTAGACGCGTTAAATCTAAAGAATGTTAATTTTGTGTTATTGCCGCATGTATTTTTGTGCAAATACCAAATCGATAAGAATCGTCTGCTTTGTGCTGCGAATAAATTTTTCTTCTTGTATGTGTGAATAAAAACAAGTTTTTTTTAACTTTTTCGAAAGTGACATAATAAATTGAAGCGAATCAATCCAAAAGGTTTGCGCAATGAATATTTACACGGTAAATTTATTATATTTTGTGATTCAATACCGTGCGCCACTTCATTGTTCACACTCAAAATTTTTTCTCGACGTTTCATTGTGGCTTCCAAACTCAGTAAAGTACATATGCCAAAATACGTATCAGCTACTGTCAATGCAAAAATATCAATCTAGTAAAATTTTAACAAACTTTTTCTCGTTGATAAAATTAATTTAGTTTCTTCTCTAGCAGTTAACTAAGATTTCTAGTTTTTCGTTGATATGTGTATGACCGCTTAAAATCTATACGTTGGCACAAGTTATTTAAAAACATATGGGTGGCTACAACCAAATCTCTTCCCCTAGTTTTTTAAAAAGAAAAAAAATTTTTCACTTTTTAAAAAAGTTTACGGTGGTCTAACAAGTTAAGGTCATGTTATTCATAGTGGACCAGGCAATATAAATGTTGTGCTATTTGGGCGCATTGAATAACACGACCTTAAGGTATCAACCCTATTACTATCGGGTCAAAAAGTACAGAGCCCTCGCTTTAAAAATCTTAGACGGCTTCCTTTTTTAACTATTGCAGATAAAATACGAGCTCTTTTCCACCAACTCCCTTGAAAAATCTATCTAAAAAATAAGGTATATTGTAAATCATAAGAAAGAATAGAAAAGTAGTCGAAAGACAAGTACAGTAATATGCTACTGTTATAGAATTTCCTATACCATTGACAAAAGGGTTCATGACGGTCTGTACGTTGCTTTAATTGAGTAATAAGGCAACAAAACATTTTTAATTTTTATAAATGATTTCGAATATATTATATATTATATATTAAAACGCACTTTAATTTGAGAGTCAAAATTTCTGAACTGGGCTACCTAAAATAAACTTTTTAAATTTGCATTATATTTATACCTACAGAATTTGTTACCGCTGGGTGGTACAAATACATTCCCGGAATGCGTTTTCAAAAATTTTAATTTTTCAATTAGTTATAAACAATTAAACTTTAAAGTAGGTTTTTAGAAAATTCACTATTGCCTCGTTGTTTTTTGATAAAATTTAATAATATTTGGTAGAGATATACAAAAATAACGCCTCTATCAATGACTACAAGATTTTTAAAATTCATGATAATTAATTAAACAATTAAAGTTTGAAGTGACTTCTGGAATAGTTACGAAAAAAATACAAAAACTACAAAAATTTATGTTTTCTACACTTTAATTACCAAAAAAAAAAATGTAGTACCTTTAAAAATTGAGCAAATGACATAATTTTAAAGAACGACGTGCAAGCACTCCACAGTGGCGAAAAATGTACATACTTTTTCTTTTCAAATCACTCTACAGGTAATAATTTTTGACCGAAACGATTTGTCTTTTTTTCTAAATCTTCGTAATTAAATTCTCTATCGATGTCTCTAGCCAGAATTTGAATTTTTGTTTTTAAACATTTTTTTTAATAACAATAAGTATTAAAAAAATCATAAAATCGTAAAAAAAATATTTTTTAGCTTCATTAATTAGAAAAATTAATCAAGAAACCATAGTAAAATAATTTTTGAGTGTTTCATAAATTGTTTAAACAATTTATTGTTATTATTTTTGTCATAAACTGTACTTAGGGCTAGAAATTTAAAGTTTTTTCTGCATTGTGCATTTTTTTGTAACTAAAACTTTCAAGTATAAAAGAAAAACTAAAACTTAATTATTTAAATAATCTTTACACAATTAATATTGTTAATTTTTTCATTTACTGTACTTAAAACTAGAATGTCTTGGTTTTTTTATATGTGCAATTTTTTTATAACTTAAACACTTAAATATAATAGAAAAATTTATTATTTAACCATTGTTTAAACAATTTATAGTTTTTAATTATTCAATTGATTGTATTTCGAAAAATCGAGAAATTTATATAACCCTAAGTGCAGTTTATGAAAAAATGACAATTGTTCCAACAATTTAAAAAAAAATTTTTTTTTATTTTTCGTCATCAGTATAGATGTTTTACTTATGAAAAATTGCACAATTGAGAAAAAAATAGAAATTTCCAGCTCTAAGTACAGTTTATAAAAAGAATAACAATTAATTGTTCAAACAATTTAATAAAGTCATTTGCTCAATTTTTAAAGGTACTAAATTTTTTTTTTTGGAAATTAAGGTGTAGAAAACATAAATTTTTTGTAGTTTTTGTAGTTTTTTCGTAACTATTCCAGAAGTCACTTTAAATTTTAATTGTTTATATAACTAATTGAAAAATTAAAATTTTTGAAAACGCATTTCGGGAATGTTTTTGTACCAGTTTAAAAAGTTTGGTTAAGTTGAATTTCAGAAATTTTGACTCTTGTTAACTAAACAAGTTACCATATTAAATCAAGAGGATATATGAGACAAAAACTGAGTATTTTAGAACTTTGTTACAAGAAAGTTTAAAGAATTGAGGAAGTGTACATCACCTTAAAATACATTTTAACTGCCATTCAAAAATTCTTTCAAAGATATAAGGTAAAAGCACCAGTACTTGGACATTGCAAAAAATGGAACCAATAGATGGACAGTAACAAAAAGAATTAAAACCGCTTCCAATGTAAATAAAAAAATAATATATATGCCCTTTTTGAATGTTACCTTTTAGATATAATTCAAGTTTTCAATTTCTAACCAAAAATTTATGAAAAAATATGTATACAATAGCATGTCACGAACTACTCGAAATCCAGTGTCCAAATTTACCTTCTGCTTTTTAATCTTGAGCACCAGCAGCACCAGTAATTGGACAACAACTTTACAGACATTAATCTTTTTAAACAATGAATTAATTAATATAAAATGACTAACTAATAAACTTAAGAGTTGACAATATTAACTAATATATAAATGCAATTATTATATGCAAATAAATATTATTCGTATTTCCTTATATGTCCAACTATTGGTCCTTATCATGTCCAACTATCAGACCCCCTAAAGTGTCATGTCCTACTATTACGGTAAAGAAACAATTACTTATTTTCTAGATTCAAATTTAACTAAAATAAAAATTTTAGACTAATTTCTTACTAATTTGAATCCTTTAATCATAATTCAAACGAAATATAAAATGTTTGTCAAGTAAACTATATTATCTTTGTAAAAATCGTTGCTTTTGCTACTATTTTAAAAGTGTCCAAGTACTGGTGCTTTTACGTTAGTATATGTAACTTATATGTGACCGCGTCTGAGAAAAGGGATTTTTTTGGTCATAAGGTCCCTTTTCTCAGACGCGGTCACATATTGAGAACATTTTATAGCTCCTAGTGGATATTGGGACATGGGATGTTTTTAGAACATCCTTGGGGGTCTATGTCCATTCGAAAGGCACCCAAAAGACACCCTATGTTTAAAGGATGTCTCTAGGATATAAGATATCTTTTGGGTGTCTTTTGAACGGTCCATAAACATCTTAAGGATGACCTAAGGACGTCCCAAAGACATCCTAGTA